GCGAATGCGAGAAACTTGAGACAAAGTGACAGTTTATTGAGCGTGTTACATTCCAGACATTTACTTTGTACATTGTAATCAGGGTATGTGTTCCATGATATTCACCCTCCATTCACCCTCCATTCTGGTCACGTCTCAGAATTTCTCTACACAAAAGAATTGATAAAACTCTCCGCGCCTCTGGAACGTTCACCGGCGGGCGTGTTCTCTGCATTTGGAACTTTTCTTTTCCTTTTTATATTCCGCTTCTTTTTTCTGCAATCACACAAGTCTGGACCTGCCGGGTCTATTCACACAGGAATGTGCACAGTCACCTTGTCACTGGATGAATAGATTCACTCTGTGCGCATCAACCAGCTCTTGTTAGAAGGGGTGAAAATCAGATGTATTCCGGATATTTTCTCTTCTGGCTGAATGTTCGTCACATATTACGGGGAGTAGTATCCGTGGTTACATTATCATTCCCTCCAGAGCTCTCTAGTATTGTTACATTGTATCTCTTCTAATGAAGATGTCTTTATTCCTGAGATCCTCAGCGCCATCCAGTGGCCACACCGAGGTATTGCCCTCACTCACTCCGTTCTATCTGTGCTATTGCTCATATTATTTGAAGAATGGGACAAAATCGAATGTTTTTGGAGCATTTCCTCTTCTGGTCACATGTTCTTCTTCAAATAATATGAGCAATAGTACAAATAGAATCACTTATAAAGACCGGAGTGAGTGAGGACAATACCCCATTGTGGCCACTAGATGGCGCTGAGGATCAGAGGAGATAAATGCATCTCAGTAATAAGAGATACAATGTAACAATTCTAGAGAACGCCGGAGGGAATGAGCAGATAAATGTAACCATTGCTACTACCGCTCATGATATCGGAAGAACATTCGACCAGAAGAGAGAACGCTCCAAGAATATTCGACAACAGCTGGTTAGTTCACACGGATTGGATGCGCCTGCAGTTTTCCTGGAGGAACAGCTTTGGGAGTATTTGGAAAGAGAACCCTTAATATCAGGGATCTATTATAGAATAATTGGGCAAAACCAATGACCTATAGCAGTGGTGGCGAACCTTGGCACTCCAGCTGTGCCAAAACTACATATCCCAACATGCATCTGCCTCTGGGAGTTATGTCTGTGGCTGTCAGAGCCTCGCAATGCCTCATGGGACTTGTAGTTCCAAAACAGCTGGAGTGGCCAGGTTCGCCATCACTGCCCTATAGGATGCAATCTGTCACCAACACCCCTGCAACATTGTTTTCTTCTCCGTTGATCCCGCCAGGGGATCCGTTATTTCCCCACTTCCTGTAACAGGCCGAGCTGTCCAGCAGATGTGACAGTTACAGGGTCGGGATCGGGGCCCCCGCTGGAAACGATGGGGCCCCCGTACATTCTCCCCGTCACAGGAAGTGGAAGAAAAGGACTTCCTGGCGGGATCAACAGATAATAAAACCATATTCCAGAGGAGACTCAGAAAAGCGGAACCTGCCACCGACAGGCGGCCTCACTGACGACGTTTCTAGAGGACGGTACAATAAATGGCTCCTCGTGTATCGGATCACAAAGGTTCCGTTACTTCGCTCTGAGTTTTCTGATCGGTGGATTGCCGGTGTTCTATCGAAAGCTCCAACTTATCGAGATCTCCAACTACCTCGCTGCCGGCGCTCAGAAAGACCGGAGCTCCGTACAGTTTGCGGCGCGCGTGGCGTTTGCAGCATACTCGTGGAGTTTGCCGCCTTGCTGAATATTGTTACAACGCAGCCGCGCAGAAGCTGCCGCCAGTCTTTGTGTTTAGCAGTCTAACGCCGTCCGGTCCGAAATCTCCAACTAGCAAAGTACCCGGCCGTGAGCTGGTTGGGGATTTCGACGAGTTGGAGCTTTCGATAGAACCGAGGTCTCTGAATCTTTAAAGGAG